TTATTAGTGTGGTCATGATCCGAAGGTGCGCATTTGGGACCTAACTGTTGACAGAAAAAATTGTATTGAACTAGGCGATCATAAATTTGCTATCGATTGTGTGGTACGAAAATTTTGATTATAATTTAATACAGTTCAATATGGGTTCTCTTATCTTTCTGATACTTTTAGTGTTTTTCACCAAAGGTTGATCGTTTAGTTTCGATCGGTTCGGCACATGATGGAAATATTTATGTATGGAATTGGCAAAATAAGGAAAAGCTTACTTCAAATAAATGTCTATGTTCTGTAAGAAAATCATGTTGTGAATTTTTCCAATATTTAAAAAAAATAACTTTATTGAATTCTTTAGATTCGTCGTGTTGCTTTTGTAGAAGACGGAAGCTGTTTTGTTACAGTTGGTAATCGTCATATTAAATTCTGGTATTCTGTTGCGAAATTAACGGTACAATAGTTTCCTTTTCATAGTTTCACGCAGGAAAAGAAATGAATTTGCCAGGTTTCATAGTATACTTGTTCAAATTACAGCGAACCTCAGAAATTCTAGACCATTACATTTTTCAATTTTCTAAAACCATATCTTTCGGAATTAATCTTCAAATTCGAGAATTCGATACAAAATGAGCAAAGATACGGGTACGAATTTCGGTGTATGGGTTCTCGGCAACATTCTCAAGTTGAAAGAAAATGTGTCAATGACTAAATTCCATTAATTTGCAGCCAATATAAACAGTTCTTTTACACTAATAACATGCAAGTCATAAGTCTCGTAAAATTATTGTTCTACACATGAACATTATAATTATGCCTCTCAGTTACTAGTATGATATGGACATCACTCTCAATTAATGAAAGACACTGTATCACTTGACATGATAGCGTTGTAAGTTATTATGGAAAGCTACTGTATGTAACAGTGTGAAAAAGAAGACTGATGACATAAAAGTGCGGGATCTGACTCGAAAACTTCTTCATAGCTAAGTTCGGTGCCTGCCACAGTAGATATATATTTTGAAATATTTGATTTCAAACTGAATTGTAGACAAAAGAATAGGAACTCAAATTCAAACGGACAGTAGAAATTTACTAAATTCATCAATTGAATCTGTATCTACATACATCTAAACTTTTACAAATTAGTAAATTTTCTGACCACAATTGTGGAAGTACAGATATATACCGCCTTTTTCGGTGAATAGAGAGGCTGGTGGAACTAGCGATTTCATTATGTTTTCGGATATGTGGGTGTGTGTGCATATGGCTGTCATTTGTGTGCGAGAAATATCCACATATAAATCTACACTACTATCCAAACCCGAGCCCTAAAAAGAATTGTCCGAAGCTTCAATGTCTACTTGACAAAAATGCATACTATTGAATCATTACGATGTAATTTTGCTCCATATCTTCGTTTATTGAGAAAAACGGATGTTTATAAATTTGAGTATTTATAGACATTATAAATAGAATAATATTTTGATTTTCGTTCTGCTTCTTTTTAAATAATAGTCTGACATTGTATCATTACGTGGACATGATGCGCTCTTAGGTGAAAAGAAAAATAATCTTTTTATTGATGTCGTTTGTGGACGCCGTAATTGCACTGGTTTGACATACGTCTTAACTGCAAATGGTCTTATTTGTCAATTTGATGAAAATCGAAAATTACGTACTGACAAGAAACTTCAAGTAAAAAATGATTTTCTTCTCAGTGAAATAAAAATGAAAGTGTGTTATTCCTTAGGAAAAAACAAATTGCTTAGCTATTAGCGACTCGTATCTTGTCGTTGGATGTAATAAAGGTGTTGTTTGCGTATTGTCACCCGAAACTCTTGAAAATATTATGTCAGTACCGTTACCACATTGTTTGGATATTGATATTAATTTTATTGCATCAACTGAGTAAAGATATTCGACTTTTGTCTTTTGATTAATAATATTCTGTATTTTAGTCAGATGACATATCCACAAAAACCAAATATTTCTTTTCCGAATACAATAGCTATTTGTTTAGATGAAAACAAATCACTGGTAAATCACTTGATTTTTTTGGACTTTAAAAAAAAAAAGTTTTCTTACTTTAGTTAACATGCTTTTATAATGATCATAGTTTTTATACTTGGAATATAAGAAATGGACAATTAATAGAAAAACGTAATTGTTATATGTATCATTCGGCATGTGTTTGGGGAATCGAAGTAAAAATTTCTTATACGTGTAGTGATGTTTTATGTTATTTCAATTATTTTAGACATATTCTGTCAGAAGTACATCACTTGCTATTTCTAATCGATTAAAGTTTATAACATGTTCAGCTGATAATACTGTACGTTTTTGGTCATTAAATCATAATGAAACTCGTTCAGCTTTTGCTTCGTCATCAGTTGAAAATGTATCAAATGGACATTTGATGAAAATTATCTATTTAGATGAAAATTATTCAAAACTATGTGATAATCAAACAACACAAGGTAAGATAACTTGATTTATTGGATTATTACTATTATATTTGTCTAATCCACGGACACTTTCGGTTGACTTTTCTTTAATTTGAGCCGTTCGATGGATTGCATGGTTTTGTTTTTCGATTTACGGGCTACGTTACACATTCACCCCATTCGTTGACCCGCAACGGCCTACCCACGGGTCGATACAAATTTAATTAAGTTAATATTTTGAAAAAGAAATCATTCATTCTTTAGATCATCTTCTTAAAGTCAATATTTAGATCATTAAAATGTTGATAACTCATTCGTGAACTCATGCAGTTATAGCAAAATTGTAAATTCATCAAAAGAAACAAAATAGGAATACTACATTACTAAGAATTTCTAAAATCAATAATTTACAGAAGTTGAGTTTGAACGTTATGGCTTGCTTAGATGATGCTATTAAGATATCTTAACTGTGAAATGTAATAAAAACTGGGATACATACTAGAAGATGAACGATTTTATCGTTCTCTTCTATTCGAGAAAAAAAAAGAAAAAGGGACCCCGCCGGAAACAGTGAAAAAATGTGCGGACAGAAGTCGACACTAGTGAATGTTAGAAACGCATCCAGAAATCGATGAGGAATAAAACGTTCGTTCTGAAGATCGATATTCAGGAAGTGTTTAAAATTTTGTTTTTGATTTATTTTCGATCTGCAAACTTGGGGAAAAGTTTGTGAAAGGTAGCACCTACGGAATAGTCTCATAATAATGAATTCACCATTGTTCGCTATTTCTACAACGAAACATTGAGAACGCAACACACTTTTATACATATGCTTCT